AACAGTATGATTTTATTAAAAATTAAAATAACGGTTTTCCAAACTAAGTCATGTTTTTACGGTAGCACCCCAAATCAGTTTTCGCAAAGTAAAAGGTTTATTTTAAAAGACTTTGCAAAATTTTCGCACTCTGATTTTACTATAAGGCGGGGTGTTACACTCACTGTATTCTCTCATACAAGAACTAATCACCCTTTTTACTCACTCCCAAAATATATAAAAATGTCAATTCAGATTCTACTAAACAGAAAGTAATCAAAAAGTCATCCTCAACATTTGTCTCGTCCTCCTTTTATCTTCGAACTATGTTTGGTAAGTGATGTAGGGAAGCGTATGAGTGAGACGATAAATTGAGAACAGTCTCAAAATACCAGGAACAATATCATTTTTTTATTCATTAATTAACCATCCATCAAAGTCACGGGGTTGAACAATATATAATAATCCTAATCTTAGTCTCCTAAACTCTCCCAACAAGCTAGATAATTATTTACTTGTCCACTAAGCAAGTAATTATTCTCTTACCAATTAACTACTAATCATAAAAAGAATAATAATAATAATAATAATAANNATAATAATAATAATAATAATAATAATAATAATAATAATAATAATAATAATAATAATAATAATAATAATAATAATAATCATTCTCTATCATCCTCCCACGGTTGAGGAGGATACGCCCTCGAATCCGAGACGACGAGACCAAGCCGTTTCCTTGCCCTTGCATCCAACACGGTGCCTTGACCATGCCGTCAAACCCACAGGGGCCACACCAAAAAAGCCACGATTCGGGCCATATCCTTCGTAAAATTGAATGTATAAGTCGAATTGAAGACCCATCTCAAAATGACCTCGTACTTGACAGTCGGAATCACGAGTCCATCAATAACATCACAAATAGAAAGAATGTGTGGATGGTGAACGTCATACAAAAATTTCTCTCCAATCTTCTCCGGTTTCTCATGAAAAATCGGTGGACCGTCGTACGCCACGAACGGCTCCTCGTCGAAAATCGGGGGGCCCTCATACTCGATCGAACCAAACTTCTCTTCCGCCACATCGTCGTCCGCCACGAGTGGCTCCTCACCAAACATCGGGGGGCCTTCGGACTCAGCCGAGCCAAGCATCACCTCTGCCACGTCGTCGTCCGCCACGAGTGGCTCCTCGTCAAAAATCGGTGGACCGTCGTACTCCCGACCCTCCACCTGCTCACTGTCGTCATCGCCGGACGGCAGTTGTGGTGTTCGTCCGCGGGGCGCCCTGCCTAGACCACGACCGCCGCTGAATCCCCCGTGCACGCCCCGGTTGCCGGAGTCACGGTACGTCGGCCAATCCACGTGCATCATGGTACGGAGAGTAAGAAGATAGTCCCCGATCTCCGCGAACAGATCTGCAACTTGACGACGCATCATCTTGAGCTCGCGGCAAAACTCCTCGGTATGGCGGCTCAATTCGTAGATGGCGACATCACGCCTGTCGTCTGCAGCATCTCATCGGCGCTACAACATCGTGATCGTGCTGACTTCTTATACCAACTGATGTAGGGAAGCGTACGAGTGGGACGATAAATTAAGAACAATCTCAAAATACCAGGAACAATATCATTTTTTTATTCATATAAACATCCATCAAAGTCACGGGGTTGAACAATATATAATAATCCTAATCTTAGTCTCCTAAACTTGCCGAACAAGCTAGATAATTATTTACTTATCCACTAAGCAAGTAATTATTTTCTTACCAATTAACTACTAATCATAAAAGGAATAATAATAATAATAATAATAATAATAATAATAATAATAATAATAATAATAATAATAATAATAATAATAATATTCATTCTCTATCAGTAAGTCTCCTATTTTGCTTTCCCTCCAAGACACGTTCAAGGATGGTAAGTCTTTTTGATGTCCAATTCTGCGATCTTTCTCCCGTGATTATGGAAGGTGAATCCCGAGTTCCTTCGAATATTCTTACCATAATAAATATGTATTATCAATAACCAACTCCTAATTAAAGAATACTTTTAAGCGATTAAATCAAACTTCCCTTAAATATTCTTGTGATTGTCTGAATCCTGGGAACTTACGAAGATTCTTCGATTTACTGTCAATCTTTAGAACTTACAATCTCCCCCTTTGGCAGATAAATCGAAAACACTTCGTTTGAACTTGCACACAAAAAGAAATATCCTGCAACACATATAATAACTCTAGGTATACTTATCACATCACATAAGTGTTGTTCATATGAACAACTCAAATACCTGAGTAATTCAAAAACCCAAACAGTTAATAGGTTAAAAAAAAATTCACCACACACAAGCAAAAGGAAATAAAGAAAAAGAGTTCAAATAGCCACAACCAGATCAAATAGTTTTAGTTAAACACAACATATTCAAATATCCAGCTGAAAGATCTAAGCAAACCCTTCATCCTCAGACTCTCCTTCAGCAGACTCTTCCTCAGAACCACCTTCAAACTCTTCAGCATCGGAACCAACTTCTTCTTCTTCTTGTTCCTCCCAGTGTCAGAGCCCTCCTCAACTTCTTCATCATCTGAACCTTCTTCTTGCTCCAAAGCCTTCTCCTTTCTCTTGACAGCAACATCAGCAACTTTTTCTTTTCCTTTGGCCTTGGCAGCAGCAACATTGGACTTCTCCCCCTTAGTTCTAGATACCTTTTTCTTTCCACCCTTACTAGTTCTCTCCCCCTTTCTCGATTTAGATACCAAAGGATCCCGTGACTTTAATGCACCCAACACTTCCTTATAATACCTTCGTTGATCAGTCAGTTTCTTCTCAAGCTTAAAAAGAACTACAATCTGTTGGTTCAAGAACCCGCGTAGCTGTGAAGGGACTTCAGAAGCCTTCACCAATGAGGACGAGGTGGAGCATTCTTCTCACCGGCAAGAGCAAGGGGCTTAAGAGAAGGTGACAAACCATCACCGACACGCAGGTCCATTTTAACTCCTGCCTTGAGTAAAATGGCATAGATGATAGAAGGGAAGAGCAACTTGTGGGTTTTTGAGATTTCAGCAAAAGAGACTATAGTATCAAAGATGACAGATCCTAGATCGAATGGTACGCCACTAAGAACACGAAAAATAACCCAGGCCTGTATAGGGATAAAAAAAATATTTATGCGACGTCGGAGTCCAATTCGATGCACCAATTTTTTGCAATGTGTTGGCTTGAGGTGTAAAAATCTTCACAAAAAGCCCGGGTGCAAGCCACTTGTTCAACTTGCCACCAGTCAGAGTATTAGCAACTTCATCAAGATCATCAGACAATGGAGATAAAGATGAACCTTCACCCAATCCAAGCACATAATTGATGCGCACTCTCTTTCTCTCTACGATCCTGCTTTCTCACCCTTGCGTTCTTTTTCTTACGATCCTCTCAAGATACTGGATGCAATCTCTCTTTCTCTCTCTTTTTCTCAAGATACTACGGCGAGATGGAGATGGATCAAAAACTAGGGTTTATGAAGATACTGGATGCGCACTCTTTTCTCTTTCTTTTTCTCAAGATATTACGGCGAGATGTAGATGGATCAGAAACTGATAAGTGAAGGGAAATTCTAGTACCTGATTGGATTGAGTTTTTGTTTTGTATCTTAAGGCTAAGGTACCATTTGGGTGTGTTGTAATGTTCACAATGGAAACTAATTTGTTTTACATTAGATTAGCTTATTTCATTTCTCCCCTAATCTTTGTACAAACAAGCATATGGATATAATTGTTTACTACAAGTATGAGGAATTTGGCTTTGATTCGACAGAGTAACTATTTGATTATGTTACAAACACAAATATCACCAAGCACATTGGTTTATCAACTTAGGACATGACAATTGTGTTGTATTATCTGTGATACTTGCAGAAAATGCACGGGATATGCTCGTATGTTTAATTTCTCTATGAATATAAGAAAAATCTTTGAACTAACTAATTCTGCTTGCATTATATTATATTACATGTTATTGAGTTTGCTTTATTGCCTTCTTACAAACAAACAAGGTGAAGAATAACTCCCCAAGATTTAGGTTCACAATTATCCAACAACTTGCAAACCAACCATCCATATAATTTTGGTATTCCTCGTTATATAACCAATAATAATAATCTTCATGAGTCTTAACTGTCAGTCTCGCATGCTTCAGCGTGGCCTTGGTTCAGTGTACTGATCTTTTGTATCTGTAGCTTATCTTTCGTTCTTTATTTCTTTCTTTTGAACTTCATTTTTTGACAATATCTGAACTAAAGTTTGTCTGTTGTTGATGATCTCACCTTGATTTGTATTGTTTTTGTTTTATTTTTCTGTTCTGTGTTTCTCACTTTCTTATAATCCTTTAGCAGCATGTATACTCTAGTTCACTACCAAGCGCTTTGTTGGCCGCATATGTCCAGCCGGCCAGAGAATCAGATATTTAGTACCTATTTTCTTTGACTCAATCTTTGACCGCTAAGTATGTGAATTCTGTCTCCTCCATTGGTGCTTCAGCAATATCTATATCCGAGGTACTCATGTAAACTTTTTCGGTAACAATTTTTTTTTAGAAAAATAAATAAATAAATGTTGTAGTCTAGTCTGATATAATCTGCTTTCCACCTAATTCGTTCCATTTTGCTTCTTCTAGAACGTTATTATTCTTTCTTTTTCTTTTAAGAAAACGAGACTTAATTCTACACAAAAAGCATCCTTTGAGTGCACCGGAAATGTCATCTGGCGCGCAAGCCAGTTTCCAATACCCCCACAATTGGATCTAACCGAACTTCAGGATATTAATCAATAATTAAAAAAAAAATAGTCGTTTCGTGACTAGATGATTTTTTTATGATCGACGAATTTCCGATGCTTTAGGATTTGAAGACTGTTGGGTTACATTCTACTCAGCCCAACATTGCCACCGGGCCTCCGCTCCCACAACATCTTGTCGTTTTCCATCCCTATTCCCAGCCCACTCTTCCTATTTGGCCATTTGCCAATATGATTGGCTACTCTTTCTTGCCCCAAAGTTACACGTACGTGCCTTCAGCTTTTCAGCAGTCGTTTGCCGGCAGCAGTAATTACCATCAGTCCTTGGCGGATGTGCTTCCTCAGTATAAGAGTAGTGTTTCAGCTAGTAACTTGCCTGCTTCTGGATACGGTGGTTTCGGCAATAACTCGACCATTCCTGGGAATTACTCGTCTGGAACAAGTTTGAGTTATGATGAAGTCTTGAGTTCTCAGTATAAAGATAATAGTAGTCACTTGCTCTCCCTTCAGCAAGTACTATACGATACTTCTTTCGTTCTGTGTTTTGCTTTGGAATATAGACGAATATTTTTTCCCCTCTTTTTCACTTTTGATTATGTCTGTTGCCTCGAAAACTGTATTAGTGTAACCAGATTGATAAAATCTGCCTTTACTTAGGAGGGGGTGATTGGATATATATAATATTTAAGTTTTGATTGGATTTATTGGATAAAATAAGTTAATGTTTAATAAACATGATTGGGTGAAGAATTGAGGGATATTTGAGTTTGTATTTAAATAATATTTATAATGTAAATAATTCGAGTTGATTTGATGTAAAAGTAGAATTGTGGTTATTTGACGTGTTGATGAGTAGTTAAAAATGTGAGTGGATGAATAGTGAATTAAAGTTTTTGATGTGATGGGTGATGATGATTTATTGATATTATTTAATTATATTAATAAGATTGAGGAGAGTTAAGTTGGATGAAGTTGAGCTGGAATTATGAGTTAAAGATTCTAAAGAAATTATTCCATCAGTCAAAAAACTGGATAAATTCTATATCCAATCGCCCCCTTACAATCTTAAGATAAATAAAGTCGAGTACTTGCCAAAATTAAGAGTACGGTTTGATTTTTGTTGGTACTTCAAATGTTTTGTGTTTATATTATTAGGCAAATACCTATTTAAGAGGGTACTTGTAATTTTAAGAGAACCTTTATTTTTTTCTTCCTTTTTTAATGATAAATAAAATAAAGAAATGACCGTTGGATTAAATGTCTTTATCGTTGGATTTCCTCAGAAAGAAAACTCGGCAATGTGGCTTCATGGAAATTCAAGAACAATGCCAGCTGTCCCGGGCAGCACGTACTACAATTACCAGACGCAAAATCAGCAGCTTGGCGGGTTCAGGCAAGTCCAGCAGCAGTCACAGAATTACTGGCCCTCAGGTAACCCGAACTTTTACCAAATTCAGGCTGGGATTTCTTTGGACCAGCAGCAGCAAAACCCTCGGGATTTGTCGCTTGGAGGCTCCCAAGAACAACCCAAACAGTCCCAGATTTTGCCCAACAACTACTTATCCACCTTCTGGTTTTCCAGGGCAGCCCGTAAATCTATATATATATATAATTACTGGCTCATGAGCATTTAATAAAACTCTTTTCGTTTTCCCGCCTTTTTCCGTTACTTTTGCATTAATCACATTATATTTTTTACTTATTTTATTATATAATTGCTACTATTAAGTGATAATGAAGACACGTTAAATGTTATTCTACTCTAATATTTTTTAAACTATATATTTAAAATTGTTATTTTTTTTCACCTCATTATGCAAGTTTCTTTTATTACAATTAATTAATTATCTTTTATGGCATAACCAACCTTATTAATGGTTTGTACACAAATGTTATAATAATTATTTAAGTATTTTTTAATCCAATTAATTATCATAATTGTTTAACACTGTATAAATTTAAAGATTAATATGTACGTTAAATTATTTTTATTTACATCATCATTATAGTAATGATAAAAATTTATAAATGTAATATGCTTATTATATAATTTATGATTTTTAAATTTTACATAAAGCATATATAAATAATGTATAATATAAAAACTTTTATTTGCATTTGTGCATGTGCACAGGGTAAAATACTAGTGAAAGGAAAAACGACCGTTTGAGCCAATATACGAGGAGATACATAATGTGATCTGAATTTATGCGTGGGAAAAGTGGGTGATTGGGTCACTGCCCTGTGCCTTGTTAGGTCGTGCTAATTTTATGATCGAGACATGCTTGCTCTTTTTTTTTTTTCTTTTGTTGGTTCTTTTCCACTTGGGAGTTTCAGAGTTTAGATCTGCTTCCTCTAGTGACAGCTTGCATGCACATGTTAATAACTTAAAGCTGTTTTTCCATTACGGTAGCTTGAGAGAGGTTGATTGTCTAACCCTGTTTTCTCGTCTTGCTTTTTCTTGTTTTTATTTTTATTTTTTTTTACTCAACCATTGTATCATTGTACTTTGTACGATTTGTGTTGTTCAGCATTTTCGTTCCCCATTGACGGGTGTAACTTTGCCAGTTTTTACTCTCATCAATGATGAATATCTTATCGTGTTTATTTTTAGACAAAATAGCTCGTTATATCACGACCTTTTAACATATTGCTAAAACATCACGACTTTTGGACATTGGCAGAAAATATCACAACCTTGGATTTCTTTGCAAAACGATACACGAAAGTCAGAAACCGGCCATCGTTGATGCACCATGGGGGAAGATTTGTAACTATTGAGAACAATAAGGAGTATTTCGGAGGTGATGATACTTTCAGACTTCTATGAAATGATTTTAAATAATAGAACGATGGCCGGTTTCCGACTTTCGTGTATCGTTTTGCAAAGAAATCAAAGGTTGTGATATTCTCCGCCAAGGTCCAAAAGTCATGATGTTTTAGCAATATGGTAAAAGGTTGTGATATAACGAGCTATTTTGCCTTATTTTTATTCATCAATAATAACAAAAATAATAACCATTAATGTTAAAATTAAAATACGAAATCCGCTAACTTTTTTCTTAGTAACAAATGGCATGAATAGTTTTATAATTATAAAAAAGTTCAAATATAAATAGAAATTATTTATTAATTTTAAATGCTTTGCGGGTAAACGGGCTGGGTTGAGAGAAAATCAAACCTAACTTGACCCGACCTGACCCAAAATGAGATTCGGGTAGCAAATTTATACCGACCGTAAACCCACTCAATTTGGTTATACTCGACCTGAAATGCAGGTAACCCGTAGGTAACCCAACCCTATGAGTTATATCGACATCCCTACTTGTTTCGTGTATGCAAGTTGTGTTGTTAGGATATTTAATGGTTAGATATTAAATTTCCTAAAAAAAGTATGGTTATCTAACTGTCACACAATATAACAGTTAATATAAGGAACAATGTAAGCCAACTATATATATAAACGTTTATGGAACTATGGCACATTTTCTTTATTACACTGAATTTTTGGACAGACACAAATTGCGCTTCAACAAGTAGACATGACGTTCACTAAAATGCGGAAGCAATTCAAATAAAAATTGAACCTTCAGGTGAGCATCCTGTTCTTTCTTCGGACTCTTCATTGTAGCAAGTGTTTGGCCCATTACAACTAGGAATTATACAAAAGACTCCCTCTTTCTAACCTACACTGTAATCATTTCACTCAACTACTTTTTCGAGCCACTCCTCGTGGACTTCTACAACACGAATCCCTCACACTGTATAATGGTATTCATCCAAAAGACGAAAAATGATCAACTAAAAAACCTATGATCGACTACCCAATAAAACTAAAATAATGTCAACACGAATCACTCACACTCTAATTCGACTACCCAATAAAACTAAAAATAATGT